GTCAGTAACCAATCATCACAGCCACTCAGCAAAATAACCTGTGGGCCCCTGAAAAATCCCAGAGCCCAGACCAGTCCAGACCGGGCTGCACTGTCTTCACGGGTCTGGATGTACACGGGAAAAGCACGCGAGCCAACTGTAGACAACTGTAGACACACGAGACAAACACACGGTAAAGAGTCCCTGGACTCTCTCAGAAAGGTGCACTTCTTCAGCCGAGCAGAGATTAATTACTAACTAGAGAGCAGCTTAGCTCGGAAGCGTATGGATCCTCCAAGTTCAGCAGTCAGCCACTGAACGATCCATCTGGTCACGCTTTTAAGTAAGCCAATAATTGGTATTGGTGGCTTGTAGCCCAGGCTACTAGTTATTTACAGAACACATTCTAAAACACTTTCCTCAGCAGGGAGATTACAGGTGAGTGGCACTGGCAGGGTGCACTGGGGGCTCTGGAAGCCCGCACAGCATGTGGTACTGGAGATCGACCTTGGGTCCCTGTGCTTCCCAGGCAGGAGCTTAGATCACTGAACTATCTTATCCCCCCAGCCCTACAGAATGCAGATTTATAAAGCACACACTTTCTCTGTGGTGCCAGGGATGGAACCGGGACCACTGGGCTGCGGCTGCAGTCCCACTGAATTATGTACACGGACACCCTCCTGCTGTGGCTCTGCGAACGAGGATAATAAGTGCCAACTGATCCAGCAGGACAGAGGACAGACTCAAAGTTGCTGGGGATGGCAAAGGAAGCTGGTGGGAAGATCAAAATGTACACAGAGAAGATTACTTGTCCAGGGATGAAAAATAATTAGGAAAGAGTCTGTTTTACAAGTACTAATTATGTACATCTTTTATCATTTACAGCACTGTGACAGCCACAAATCCCAGTATTAATGAATTCATTAACTTGGAAAATTTCCTTCAGGCTAGTTTCTGGTCTAATCGACAAATACCTATATCTATTATTGAAAATTAACAAAATAATTCTGAAACATTTGAAATCTCAGGATGTTATTAAAAGTGTGTTTGAAAGTTTTTTAATTCACTGCTGTTTTTTAATTTTGCTATATATTACCAAAACTATTAAAAATTCTACCAAACTACGTAAGCTCAGTGCCTCCATTTAAAGGTCCTATAAAGCTAGTCATATAAAATGCAAGGGCCGGCCAGATAGCTGAAGGGCCAGCCAGAAGCTGAGCTGACTAAAGTGCCTGCTTAGGCAGACACAGGGACCAGGGTTTGATCCCCGGCAGGCCTTGCTAGCCCTGCCCCTGAGGTACACTGAAACAGCGACTGAGACTGGGCATGCACCTGTAATCTCAGAGCTACTATGAGTCCAATCTGTGTCATAAGACCCTGTAGACCCTGTTTTAAATAAAAAAAGCAAAAAGGGGTTCTTTGTAAAGCCTGAGTCAACCCTTTATTCAGGACAAAGGCAAAGGCTGCATCTCTCTTCCCTGGAGAATTTTAAAGACCCCAGCCAGGAAGTGTCATGTGGCTTCCCCTCCTTCCTTCTCAGATGGCTTGGGTGCTGGCCTTTGAACAGGTTCCAGGTTGTCTGTGTCTATCTTTAAATATGCACTTCTAGATTTTTTTATTTTATTTTTTAATTTTTATTTATTTATTTATTTATTTATGGAACCGGGGATTGAACTCAGGCCCTTGTGCTTGCCAGGGAAGCACTTATCCACTGAGCTATCTCCCCAGCCCCCCTAGATTTTAAAAAAAAATCATATATAGCACAGAGGTTACTTGCCTAGCATGGATTCATCTCCATTACAAAAATAAAACTGAAAAAAAAAAAAAAAAGATACATCACACTTCTTTTTTTTTTTTAAAAAAAATGCATTTTTAAAATTTACTTGGTACAGGGTCTCACTATGTAGTTTCGACTCACAGAGATCCTCCTGTCCCAGCCTCCTCAGCACTAGATTATAGGCATGAACCGCCATGCCCGGTTTTAGGGTCAGCACAGTGCATCTGGGGTTCCAGGGCCAGTGCAGCATATGGTACCAGGGGTCAAACTCAGGTCCCTTCGCTTGCCAGACAGGCGCTTATGCTGCCGAGCTCTCTTTCCAACCACACGAGATGAGGGTTGGCTTTACTTGCAATCGTAGAAATGTAGATGTAAACTATAAAATCATGTTTCATTTTCACAGTGAGAAAAACAAACTGGCAGGAGGTGGGCTGGGGAGATGGCTCAGTAGAATAAACACTTCCCTGGCAAGCGCAAGGGCTTGAGTTCAATCCCCGGTTCCGCAAAAAAAAAAAAAAACCTGACAGGAGGTGATGCAGAAGAAATTGGGCACGGTCAGGGTGGTATGGGTGTAGACAGGAGGAGGGGTGATGCAGACGGCAAGTGGCCGGCATAACGTAGAGATGTCTATCAACGTTCACGGGGCACACCCCTTCCATGGGACACTGGGTGCCCGCTGCACTGACTACACAGGTGTCTCCCCACAGGAGCTGGGGCAGGAGCTGTGACGGTTTGCGTCTAGTTATCCTCCCAAAACCTCATGCAGTCACTGGGGCAGACTTCTAGAGGTTGTGGTTGATTCCTGATCCAGTGCTGGGATTATGGGTGTGAGTGCTACAACTCCCCAGGAACAGATAGCCGGGAAGCAGTGTAAGGAAGGGAGAGAGGCCTGCTAGCGGCCACTGTCGCTGCTACCCTCCCCTTTGCCCCTGCTGTTTTCCACTGCCAAGAACCACTGCCCTCTGCCATGTGCCACTCTGCCTTGGAGCCAGCCGAGCATGGACTGAAACCTCCACAGACTGTGAGCTAAATAAACTTTCCTTCCTTAATATTGGGAGTCCAGGTGCCACCCAGATAGCTCAGCAGATTAAAGCAGCTGCCTAGGTAGACGCAGGGGTCGGAGGTTTGACCCCCAGCCTTCAGTACTGGCCCCACCTCCAGGGTGCACTGAGACAGCGACTGAGACTGGGTATGGTGGCACATGCCTGTAATCCCAGCACTTGGGAAGCTGAAAACAGAATCAGTGTAAGTCTGATCTGTGTAGTGAAACCCTGTAGACCTTGCACTAAAAAAAAAAAAAAAAAAAAAGAACCCAAAAAACTCAAGCTGATCTTCAATAATTACCATTAACACTTCAGCTAGACCAATATACAATTGAAAGGCTAAAACGAAGTCCTAGTCAACTCTGTACATATCACTACAATAGCAGCCTAAATGAAGAATCGCTCTCCTTTGAAGGAGAACTCTTCAGATGGTCCATTGTAATTTTCATACTATGTGTGCTTTATTACAATAGAA